ATACATGCACAGTAATGATATATACATGCACAGCAATGTTATATACACGCACAGCAATGTTATATACACGCACAGCAATGTTATATACATGTACAGCAATGTTATATACATGTACAGCAATGTTATATACATACACAGCAATGTTATATACATGTACAGCAATGTTATATACATGCACAGCAATGTTATATACATGCACAGCAATGTTATATACATGCACAGCAATTTTATATACACGCACAGCAATGTTATATACATGCACAGCAATGTTATATACATGCACAGCAATGTTATATACATGCACAGCAATGTTATATACATGCACAGCAATGTTATATACATGCACAGCAATGTTATATTAATTACGAGGAGTGGTGTGTTTAATTAATATGAGTGGTGTGTGTTAATTAAGAAGAGTGGTGTGTGTTTAATTAAGAGGGGTGGTGTGTGTTTAATTAATAGGAGTGGTGTTTGTTTAATTAAGAGGAGCGGTGTGTGTTTGATTAAGAGGAGTTGTGTGTGTGTGTTGTCTTCTCTTACTTTTGTAGTGTTTAACATCATAATACACCCCGTGTCCGCTTGTTTGGCGCCTGCTTGTTTCGCGTGGCCGGGATTCAGCGGTATCATTTGTTCTCAATCGACGGCCTGTACTCTTGATTCATTGTATATACCCCCAGTTAATTCCCGGTTAATTGTCCACCCTCACCTAGGCCCTGAGTCCCCGTGAACGGATGGCGTTGACCTGTCAGTGTCGGACGTTGATGTTCGATACCATCATGAATGTGATGGTCAAACTGTACTCACTCAACTCAGCACTACGCGCGATCAAGACAGGTGAGTGTGAGTGCCCGCATGGCACGAGTATGTATGTATGGCACAAACACGGGCAGCTATATACAGAACACACAGACTTCGTAGATAGATAGTAGGTATGTTGGGAAAGGTATATGTTGCACCAGGATGTGTAGCTATATATAGAACACAAAGGCTTTATAGATAGTTAAATAAGTGTACTGGACATACTCATATGTACGCACATATCACACCCACATACTCGCAACCATCGTGCAGATGACGAACGTGCAGCCAAGCTAGGGGCGATGGTAAAGAGTGCGCTGGTGGGTATCTGTCGGATGGAATACACCAGCATCACCAGCCTCCGGGCCAGCGACGGTAGGTGGTGTGGGGATGGACAATTAACCAGGAGTGTGTCCGAAGCAGTAGACACTGGCTTCGCACCTATAATGGGGTGCGCAGTTGCGGTTATAATTGCTTTTAGAACTGTTTATGCACTTGTGCTGAGGCGCGCGTGCGCGCGTACACACACACACACACACACACACACACACACACACACACACACACACACACACACACACATATATATATATA